CTTGCTGCAGCTGCTCTGCCCCGACTTCCCCATGGAACTCACTCAGAAGGCAGCAAGGTGGGTCCTCATCTGCTCTTTTAAAGCAAGATCACTCCTACACACATGGGCTTAGAAACTGTATTTGTGGGTTAAGATATGGACAGGGACATTCAGCAATAAAGATTTGGGGGAAAAAGAGAACTGAAGCTGGGAACAGGGGGTTTTGCTAGCAGTGAGAAAGAATGTATATTTAAGGTATACAGGGGTGAAATAATCAGTGCAGTGTTAAGTATATGAAGAATGCTGCTTCTGGCGTTGTCTAGGCTCAGAAGATGAGTCGCATATAAAAGAATGTTAGCCAATACGTTTTCAACGGACATGATTGTAAACTCTGTTTTAAATAATATTTACAATCTGTATAAGTTCACTCCCACTCCAGCTTCCCATGGTTGATCACATTTTAAAGGTACTAGGCTCTGAAGCAGTGCCACAGCGTTTTAAAGTATGTGAGCTAAGAACCTTGTATACCAGGCCACACATGGTAGCTAATCTGTTTGAAATTTTATTTTAATCTAGACAAGGTCTAAAGCTGATAGATAGCTCAGGGCACTGATAATGTGATTCAGAGTTTTTTTTTATTGATAGCGCTTGCTGATTCCAGTCCAGCCCAGATAGTTGATTATTAACCATCTGATAGTGCAAATGTAATAAGGTATTTGCATCTGTTTGTGCGGGGAGGTCAGTTCAGATCTCAGTAGGAGTGCACACACACATATTATAATCACAGCATGATTACTGAATGAATAGTCTCATTCCTAGCCATTTCGGCAGTGGGGGCACAGAAACTAAACTTTTTCATAAACCCAGATATGATCTTCGGAAGCAGGGTCTAGGCATACACTCAGGATATTAGTTTCTTTGGTATCAGAGCCCCATGAAAATTATTTTCAAGAAGGAGAGTAAAAAGAGAACTGTTGCCATCTGCAAGTACTTCCACTCAGCTGATTCTCTAAATTCCTCTGTAGCTCCTACGTGCTGCTGTCCCAGCTGAACTGCAGCTAGGGCCATGTAGGTTCAATTAAAACTAAAAGTCGAGTGCTGCTTTTCCCTCTTGCTCATCAACGGGCTTTGTGGTCTCCAGTTATTCGGCCTCTAATGCCAGATTAAGGCAGAAGGCTAGCCCTGCATCAGGAATATATCTGCTGCTTCCTTTCAGGGGGACACGAAGCAGGAGTCCCATGCACTGGTGTGTATTTCATAGGTTTCCAGCTGAGCTGAGCAGGAATTTGTGATGGAGCATGAAAAGAGACTTCAACATATCTGCACTAGTTATGATGTTTGTGTCAAGGAATTTAACACACAAGGCTGTTGTGAACTAGAGGCCCCATTCAGGGGCCTGCTGCACTGTTGTGCGTGTGCCTTAGAGACAGACAAGCAGGCTCTGGGAGCAGGTGCTAGAGAAATGAGATCTGTCTGAGGCACCCAGGCTCAGGTGGGGATGATCTCACTCCTACTTTTGGCTGGCTGGAGATTTACTTGCATGTTGCTATTATTCTGTTACAAACTAATCCGCCTGAGCAGTTTTAATAAAACTTATAAAACATCCTTTTCTTCCCTTCCATTTCTTACTCTCTCTTTTTTCTACTTTCTTGTTCTTTACCGGTACTTATGCTGGTTGCTGCTTCCTATGTGTCCTCCAAGTGTCCTCTTTGGTTTGTGCCCATTAGAAGGGCGAACTCCATAGGCTCTGCTCCAGAACTAGTTGATTAATTCCTTGCAGAGCACAAGTGTCGCATGCAGACCTGGTGACATTGCTGCTACTCCTTCATTCTGTGCACCCTGGACAGCTTTGTTGCTAATTTGCTTTGGGAGAGGAAGTGAATACAGCAGGGGCAGGATCAGCCACAGCCTTCACTGATAGAGCCAGGACCTGTGGGGTTATTGGTGCTCTTGGGAAGAGAGAGCTCTCTTAGCTGTAGTCTCAGTGCTGCATGACTGAGATGATCTCACATCACAGTGCACTCCACTTGTCCAGGAGCTGTTGCTATGCACTGATAACAAACACTGAAAGACTAGGAAATATCAGGGCAGAAGAATAGAGGCAACAACAGTATAGGTTTTATTGGTGTTACAGCTGAAAGCTCCATTTCCCTGTTCTATATGCCATGTGAATACACAGCTCATACCCAAAAAACAAAGAGCCTATATGTCTCTGTGAGTTTCCTTGGGCTTCTTTTTCTTTCCCCCTCTGTAGGTCTTAGCCACTAGCAGTTTGAAGATTTAATGTTCAGAGTTACCTTTAATCTTCACAGATAACTTCTGACTTTCTGAATCTTGAAGTTGCAGAAGAACAGACAGAAGGATTTTTCTAGTTTGATACCATCAGAAGGCTCATGTTGCACTGATCACTGCTAGTGGAAGTGGGGCTTAGAAGACTCTGTGCCCCTCTTGGTGAATCAGTGTCTGAGAGGCTAGATCCTACTGTTTTTGTATATTCCATTTATTTTTGCCCCTGGAGAACCAGGGGCATCCTGGCGTTATGGCACACTGTGTCATTTAGATTTTAACAGAGGCGGAGAACAGTAAAAGTCCTTTCAACTTGCATGGTCCAGAGTTTATCTTGGGGACTTCCTCCCTGACCTTAGATTCTGAGATTTTAGCTGCAATCAGCACATCATAAATTTTCCCCGTAGCAAGGTTTTCCTGCCAGTCAAGCCCCCTTGAACCCTGAAAGACCACTACACTCTTAACAGAGTCCCTCAACTGTAGGCATCTTTCTTCAATGCTTTCCAAAGTTTCTCCTTGATTTTCATTATTCACTGCATGCTGAGTACTAATCTTGTAAATAAGTCTGTGCCCCTGAGGCCTAATTCTGACAAGAAAGAATGAATAAAGGATCTCCTAAAATACCAGCTACTGGGTGAACTTCTTTGAATCCAAATTTAAACTGTCAGAATTGGTCCTCAACTTTGGTCTTGTTGCCTGGGTTATGGTCAGGATTCTCTCCTTGCCAGGTGTTGCAGGGAAAGGGTGCAGATATGTTGCATCTGATGCTCTCCTAGCTTCCCAGGTTGTGCAGTCAGCTAGCTATGTGAGGAAATAGCCAGCTGCAGTCAGGCTCCTCCTAAATTATTGCACCCATGTAAAGATTTCTCAGCCTGGCCAGTGTGGACAGTCCACAGTGCAGAGTCCTGGGCCAAGTGGAGTCAATAACCCCACAGCAGAGAGCACCTCGTTCTATTTAGACACTCCCCTGTCACACACAGGCCACACGATCCTCCTCGCAGGCTCCCTCTGCCCTTCTGTAAGGAGGAGAAGGGACTTGGTGTTGCAGGGCGCAGGCATTGACCATAGCTCCAGATTTAACAAGCAAAGTGAATCGTCATGTAGGTGATACAGTATTGACTCTCCACAAAGCAAATGCATGAAAAACTCCCACACTGTTGTTCTCTGGCTTCTCCAGGATGGGGCAATCCACTGGAGAGAAAAAAAAAAAAATACCACACCGTTGGTGCTTGTGCTTTGAGAGGATCTGGGGGACAGACCAGCATTTCAAAGAAGAGAGCGCTGCTTCTCAGCGATACGGCCTGTAGGGTTTCCAGTGTGCTTAAAGAGTGGTTGGAAATGCCAGTGGGTGAGTAATACTGCCTGAGAGATGAAGATGCTCTGCCTGCCAGCTTCAAAGCCATTTCCTTGATGTGGCCACTGACAATCTCAGTAACATGCTTATTATTGAGAATTAAGAACTGAAGCTACTGCTTCTTTAGACAGGAGGAGGAGGAGGCTTCTGGAACATAATAAATAAATCAGAAGCACTTTGACATCTTCAAAGGGTTTTGTTTTAAATACTGGCTTTTCTCCTGGGGACCCTCCTAGTCCCAGTCTTTCTTCTTTGAGATAATTAATTCAAGCTGCTCTGCATGCTTCATTTTGCCACAGCGAACAGAACTGGTCTGAGTGGCAGGGAGGGAAGCCTCTTGAAAGAGCCTATAGCTCTTCTAGGTCAGTCTCCCACATGCTTCCTGGAGCCTCTCCCAGGAGACAGAGTAGTGTTTCCCCACCAACATATCTTGGCCATTGACGCTGCAGGAATTGGTCCATGGAGTGCACTGGGCCCCATGTTCAAGGGTACCCTGCTAGATGACCTGTACTTTGGCTATAATCAATTGGTGGTAATCCTCCTCATATGACTGCGTATACCAGATATTGACTGCAGGGTTGGGAGGCCTGCTCCTGCTCAAAGTTGCTTGGAGGTCTATAAAAAAAAACATAATTGAGAAGTGGCACCACATTGTGAGTCATTTATCTGAAGATTTTGTTTTTTCCTATCAAAACTGAGTGTTTTCTTTTGTTTCCTGTTTGACCTCTCCTTGATCAGCTGAAGTTCCCCATTCCAGAGATTGACCTTTTCATCCTTATGTAGTAGCAATGACCAGAGTTACTGAGATCGTTGTCACTTTAATGAAAAGTTTCACTTAGTTCTGAAATCCAGAGTTTTCTCCTGAAAGGAAGAAATGGACTTTGCTATCACTTCTACTTCATCTTTATTGCCTTTGGTTGATAATGTTATGTATTCATGAAGTGTGCTTCAAAATAGGGGTGCATAGATATCCTTAGAACTTTACAGAGAGAATGAAAACATTGCCTCTGGTCTGAGAAGTTTTTAGTCTCCATGAAATTTGATTTGAGCTGATAGTACTGACAAAGAGACTAGTTTGGAGAATAGCACATTCATGTGCGTAGTGTGTAGTTAGGAAAGGGATTGTTGGTGCAAAAGATACGTCATGCTATTTCCTCTTTAATCAAGTGGAGTTTGTTTAACCTTAGATTGGGAGTTAATAACTACTGCCATTCCCATGAATTTGAAAATAGACCAGTTGACTCAGCTGTGTTATATAGAGGAATGGCATCATTCTGCTTACACTAGTTTTGTACCATGGTAACTGTCTTGTTTTTAGGACAATTTTCTTAAACTGCCAGGTGAATCAGGCTTGCAGTGTTTCAGACCCGCGTGTTTGCCAGTGCTCATTCCATTATGTCCCCTGGGCTTTGAATCCTCGACATCCATCTGGCTGTATCCGCACCCTAGATGTAGTGTGCGATTGCGCTGACAATCAGGATCATCTTCTGACTGTAAGTCTTCAATCTGCTTTCATGTGATATCAGGATGTCCATATCCACCCTGATGTCTGTGTTCCCATCGCTCTGGACTAACGTCTTCCACTGAGCCCATGGGCTTGCAGTGCTCAATAGCACTGCACTCCTTAGCTACACTTTCTCTACAGATGGAATTTCAGGTTGCAGACTAGTCTGGTTGCAGTCCTTGGGTAGCAGTTAAACTGTTTCTCTCCTCTTATTCCTAGGATTGTGCTGATGGATGATGCCATGGATTGCCTGATGTCTTTTTCTGACTTCCTCTTTGCCTTCCAGATCCAATTCTACTACTCAGGTAAATGCTGGGAAACTGCTGACTTCACCCACTACTGTTTTCGTGTCCCACTTTACAGCCCTAGAGCTTCCATATCCCTGCACTTTTCTTGAACTGATAAAGAGATTTTTTTCATATATATATATATATGAATATATGTAGATAGTGGAACCCATTACACAAGATATCACTGAAGTCAAGAGCTTAACAGGCTTCGTAAGTAGGTTCTAGCTTGTTGTTAATAACAGGATATCTGTAATTGTTATGGATTGTGCAGGTATATGTTTTAGAGAGCCTTGAGACATAAATCTCCAGCTTTATCTTCAGCAATATAGCTAATGTCAGCAACTAACAATTGCTTTTATTAGGAACAAATTTTTCGATAACTCCTTAATACAGAGTGTCTATCTTTGAAGTAGGGGCGCCTGCTAGAGGCAGGAGAAGAACAGCCCAGCTCAAACCTTGCCCGCTGCTGTGTCCCCAACATGGACCAGGAGCTGATGCCTGGAGAGGAGGAGGAACTTGGCAAATGTTCACAGTACTTCCCCCTAATACTCTCCCAACCACTAGCTATTTTCAGCTCAAAGAGTTTCTGAACGAATATAGTTTCTATGGACACAGGAAGCCTTAGTGGCTTTCTTTGCTGTGAACTTGTCCGGTCTCTCCTTGAAATCAAATAAACTTAATTTCTACAACACTTTTTGGTGAAGAGCTGCCCAGATCTGCCCCCTGTCCCACTTCTATTGTTGTTTGTTCTATTTGATAGCCCCTGGTTGGAAGGGAAAATGAACAGTTAATCCCTATCTACCCTCTTCATATCATTTGTCTTTTATCATATTCTGCACCTCCCAGTTGTTTGAATTTTAAGTAGATGGGATATTCTTTTGACAGTCTTGACAGGAAAAGTACATATGAATTAATGTTAGGAGCAAGAGGGAAGCCTTCCCCCTAGAAAGGTGAGTCTAGAAAGGTGCCCCCTGCCCCAAAAGTAATGACTGTTTAAGGCGTATTAGGGATAGATATGATCCCAAGCATCGAGAACTGGTAGGGTCTCACTTATCTAGTCCCTTGCGGAGCACACTTCCCAAACACACATAAACTCTTGGATTTCTGTCCACTCACACTGATAGCTCCCTCTGATGAATATAGCTCACAGGTGGCCTTCATCAAGCAGCAAGGGACAACAGATTAAGGATACTGGGAGACATTGGGTAGGAGCTGTGTTGGAACATAGTCTGTGGTTAGAGAGGAGACTTGGGTGGCCTGCTGATCTGATCCAACCTGTCAGTTTCCATCTTTCTAGCAGTTAGAGTCATCCACTGTCCCTAATAAAAACGTCTCTTTTTCTCAATACTTGTCTGTATACACCTCCCCTGTAATCCCCCTGTACATAACCTAACATTATCCATGACAAGTCATCAAAAAAACCACAGTTCAGAATGGTGGGTTTGGGTTGGGCAGAGCCAGGCTTGCTATAGCTTAAGCTGGGGACAGAAATTACGTTTGGAAAGCGATAGAACAAATATTTCCACTGAGCTAGGGAACCTCAGCATAGCCTCCGGGCCCACATCCATCCCTGCTCTCCTCTCCACTCGTCTCACGAACGTCGTCCCGTTGCGCTCACCTGGGGCTCCCGCGCCCTGGAGCGCACACAAATCCACCCTCGTGTCCACGCGCGCAGCTCCCCGGCCCGGTCCCTCCTGCCTGGCCCAGGACGCACAGCCTGTCATACGCTCTCCCACCAACCCACACACATGCAAACCACTCCAAGTGGAATCTAGATTTGTAAACTGCTGACCACATCCATAAACAAACTTGTTTAAAATTAGACTCTTGCAGTAAACAGCGGGTAGTGTGAGAAGCCTGGGGAGAAGCTTTCTGCCAACTCTAGCCCTGACCTGCCCTGGCCCTTCCTTCAGATCCCATGTTGTATTTACTTTGGAGCAGCACAGAGACAAGCTAGGGTGCAGCCTGGAGCCCCAGCTAACTTGCACCCTTTATTCCTCTTTCAGTTCCAGATATTTTGTTCAGAACTTGCATGAATTCTCAGTCAGTGGCAGTAGGTGCAAGAGGATGAGTTTTGACACCCTGCAGTTAGTTTTGTGCTTGATATTAGTTTTCATACTCCACTCTTACCCATGTGTTGTCTTCTGTTCGCTCCACCGAGATAGTGGTTTCTCATAATCATTTGTGTAGGAAAGCCAACAATGTACATGGAAATGTCTGTTTGTAGCATATGTGCTTTCCTGGTATCTGATCTGAATTTGTAGGATGCTTTAGTGTGGTGCTTAAGTTGGTTTCCTCTTGGTTTTATATACAACACAGCAGGGCATGATTATTTAATCCCAGGTAGGCCAGGAATGTGCTTCACCACTATTAGGGCCTTAAGTTATAAGTCACCTTGTGTGTTTTCAGAGTTCCTGGAAAGTGTGGCTGCTATTTATCAAGACCTATTGGCTGGTAAGAGTCCAAACACTGTGGTTGTGCCAACATCATCCTCTGGGCAACACCGGCAGCGCCAACCCACGAATGACTGCAACCCACTCGATGGGGTAGAGGCATCTCTCTTCTATCAGTGCCTAGAGTCCTTGTGTGACAGATCAAAATACAGGTACGAATGGGCCCCAAAACACAGTTTTGTGTCCTTGTAGACGTTTTGTCAGGTTGGAGCTATGAAGAGGTACAGAACTTTGAACAAGCCGTGACTTCTATGTAGGTATCATTGGAGAAATATGAAGGACAAGATCAGCTGTAACTGCAAGAAAAAAGCAATTTCATTGACTTGTGAAACGTGGTTTTGAGCTAATTCTTGAGGTAAAAAGTTGATTTGGGGATCTGATTTCCTTCTCATTCTGCATTGGCACCTTCCTCAAGGACATGTTCAATCTACCATCATGAGTTAACTAGAGGAGATAAACAAATGGAACTGTGTACCTGGACAGCGAAGCACCAAACAGACACAGTGGGGTGGATGGAGTTTGGCATGGGAGCACCTGGATACAATCACATTACTAGTCTGTACTTGAGCCTCACATCAAGCTGGTGTCCAGAGACAGGGCCCAGCCACAAGACTAGCAAAAATCAGCAGGGGCAGAGCAATGCCTAACCTTCCCATTATAAGTTTGAGACGTGTTCTTCATAGATACTTGCAGGTAGCAGGCAGATGCCCTGCAAGGTCATGAGCTAGATCCACAAAAAAACTCAAGACACAAGTCCCAAGTGATTCCTGCTTTAGATGCCTGAATCCATGTTTGTGATCTACCAAACATTGTTGAATCGCTGTAGACATCTTGCTGGAATTAATGGAATCTGGACATTCCAGACTTTCTAGTTGTTTTAGATAACTAAAGCTCTGCATTCCCTGTATGCCCTGAGAGCTTTGGCTGGGAAGGATGTTGTGAGCATATCTGATAATTGATCAGGCTCTACAAGGCATTGTGGGGAGAGCCATTCCCAGACCCTGACCCAGTAGCTCTATCCTCAGCCAAGCTTTGGTAATTAACCTTTGCCTGAGGGATCACCAGCCCACACGAGGTCTTGCAGCAGTGCTCCAGCCATTAGGCCATGGACTATTCAGCACTTTCATTTCCGCTTAATGAAGCATTTCTATTTTGAATTAAATCCTTTAAAGAATATTAGACAAAAGCAAGAATCAGTATGATGATAGTGCCTAGAAGTCAGGGCAAGAGGTAAGGGTGTGCATAGAAGAAGAGAACATGTGAATTATAGTCCCCGCTTAATAATTATTTATGATGTACTTAGTCTTTCACTGGAGAAGGTTTCCTGCCATTTGGATAACTGTCAGTGATAAAAGGGTCCTGATAACAGCAGTACCCTCATTAAGTGCCTTCTAAAGAAAGCGCTTCCCACTTGGTTTTTGGAAGAGTATACTACTAGTTGGGGCGCATATGCCTCTGAGGGGATCCAGGCTTTTCTCTTTGTCCTTGGAATGGAGGAAAGTAAGACTGCTGTTAGGGACACATTCCAGTTCTAAGGTCTTGTTTAGCAAACTGGGAGCAGATACAAAGCCAAATAAGTTTGCTGGTGGCTGTCTTTGAGTAGGGCCTGCCTGAGAGTGTTAATAGAAGAGGTATTATTCCTCCAGTTTGTGCTGGGTCTTGAGGAAAAAAAAAAGTTTATAATTTAAAAGACAACCTCTTTCTCCTTCTTTTCCTAGCTGTCCACCTTCTGCTCTTGTGAAGGAAATACTGAGTAGTGTACAGAGGTTGACCTTCTATGAGTTCCTTATGGCACTTGCAAAACACCAGGGCATCAACAGAGCCCTAGGTAAGACTCCTGTGTGGTAGGGCTCTAGATTTTCAGTCATTCTGTGTTTCTGTGTCCTAGATTTTGCTTTGTCAGGAAGAGAGTGAGAAAAACTTTTTCATCTTTTTGGTGATGGATGAAACTTCAAAGACACCTTAGTGTCTGCTTGAATTTGTGGAGCTTCTTAAATAGTAAAACAGATATGAAATGCTGCCATAAAATAGCAGTGTTTTACATCTTCATTAGCTGATGGCACTTTAGCAGAAATACCCTTTTAACTTATTTGGTAAAGTTGGACGGGGATGGTCGGGAGACAAGTAAGGTGTCTAACTGCTTTCAGAAACTTCTTTAGATAGTAGCTGAGTTGATTCTTCCACAAATTTTAAGTGACCATCCATTGCCAACAAAGAGAAGGAAGAGGGAGTGTGCAACTACAACAAAAATCTCTGCTGTCTTCATTGCTCAAAGAATCAAACTAAGCTGAGTCTTTCCCAGCTAGTCATCATCCTCCAAGGTAGTTTGATCTTGTCAGTATGTTAATAAATGGCCTACTGAGTATCTGGTGGTATCATAAAAGACAAACTGTTAAAAATTCTGTCTTAAACTGCTGTGGGAGCCAGAGGGATTAGCAGATGACCTCTCACTGTTCACTCCATGTTGTACTGGCCAGTATCTTCTAAGGCAGAGGAGTGAAGCATTGCATTGGCAAGGGACAGTATGTAATCCACACATATTTCAGCTTCACAATCCCACATTGCCTTTGTGTGCCTTGCTTTTGCTCCCCTCCTCCTTTTGCAGAGGGGAACAGAGATGGCTCTTTGCGTTTGACAAGGATACAAATCCAGGAGGAATGTTCAAAGCAGGGAGACCCAAACACGGATCTTCATTCATCTCCACCCAGCCAGTCCCCTGGCCAGTGTGGACAGACTTTCTGTCCCTGTCTGTCTTCTGCTTCCGGCCTGACTGTGTGACAACCCTATATTTCAAAGACAAGCCACAGTGAAAAGGTGTACCTGGCGTGAGGGCTTCCTCCTTGGCACGTGTGTGTGTCAAAGTAGAATAAAGGTGTCTCCTCCCTGGCTGAGCCCCTTCTTCAAGCAAACCATTGAAGTTGCTAGTGCTCCTCCGGGGCACGGCTGCTTACCTGACAACACAGAGATTAAATATCAAAGGTATGAACACAGCGCTGCGGTCCCCCTCTGCAGGCACGCTCAAGAGGCAGTGTATTCCCTGGGCAAGGTCATGCCTCGCTTGCACCAACGTCTTTTTTCTCTTTGCCCTGCAAAAGCACTTCCGATAAAGCACAAAGAAAACAGATGGGCAGAAGAAAACCTGCCCACAGCTTCCATTGTGCCATCTACGAGGTGCACAGGTTTCCCTTTCCACGGGCTGTCCCCTGGCCCTCTGCCAACCTCCTGCCGCGGCCTCTCAAAGAGGAGGGGCGGCAGCCGCAAGCCTGACAGGTGCTCGCATCTTGGCAAAGGGCGGAGGTTTTTATCCCCCGTGTCTTTTAATCTCTTCTGAAGGGTGATTTTAATAGTCTGCAGCCTGTAGAGGATCACAGGCTCCCCGAAGCCCTTCCACAAAGGCCCTCTCAGGCAAAGAAGCATTCAGCCGAGCGCCTGCCTCCTCGCTGCTCTCTGCAGAGCCTCACAAAGGCAGCAGGCCCCTGGTAGAGGAACAGGCGGGATGAGAGCGGCTCATTCCGGCTAGGACACCACTGATGAGTTTGTCAGGCAAACTGCAGTCTGCAGCCTAGCTCCAGTGTCAATGTTGATTTGTGAGATCTTAAGTGTCACTTACTAACTTACCCAGCTAACACACGTTCTCCAGAGACCTCACTGTATGTTCTGCAACCACAGAAACAAGGTGAGCTTTAGCTGTGCGTTGGTTTAATTGAGAGCGTGGGAGGAAGCAGGCTGGTGCACTTCACAGGACCCCTGGCACTCTGTCGTAGTGCCAAGCTTTGCTTTGCATTTTCTGGATGAGAAGACCAGAGCTAGAAGAAGCGCAGGCGTCAGTTTTCTGTGGTGGTTCTAGTTTATTAGGAACTCATGGCTACATTTCTGATGACCTCTGCCATCCTGCTGGGGTGAGGGAGGTGACTCCCCAGCCCCTCCTTCAAGAACAAAATGTAATCAGAAAACAGAATTGTGGTCCCCCATGGCAGTATAAAGCACTTTCCCAATCATAGTGAGTCTGGCACCTACCTCTCCTGAAAAAAAAAATACAAAAACCAAAAGCATTCTCCACTATGATTGTGGTACAGCTTAATAGGTATATTTTTCCTGGAGTTGTGCAGTGGCAGTATCCAGACTGTGACTGCTGGGACCCTGCTATGACCCCTGTGCAAGCTGGACTTTGTTACAGAGTGAGAAAGGAGGTGTTTCCCCAGAACCTCATCCCCATCTTCCTTTCTGGGCTTTTCCCAAAATGCCACTGCCAGAGAGTGGCAGTGATGATGCACCAGCTGTCCCAGGCCTGAAGTACACCCATGTCCTTCATCCAGCATAGAGTATCAGCCCTGGCAAACATGAAAAGGAGCATGCAGGCCTTTTGCTGATAAAGAAGATAACATGATTACCGACCCCATTTAACCCAAGTTCAGCTATGTCAGGGAAGAGCCTGTATGAAGAGCACAGAATCTGACCCATCATTCGTTGTCTGTCCATGACCCTCAGTACTCAGTGTCCAGGTTTGAGCAAGGTATGACCATGGCAGATTTTGGAGGCTGGTATGACTTGAATCTTTATGAAGACTGACCCTGAAAAACCTGCTGCTCTGATGATACTTTCCTTTTTGTTTTTTTTTTCCAGGGGCTCTGCCAGATAAAGGAGACTTGTTTCTGGACCCTGCCATGGATCAGGAAATTGAAAAATTGTGAGTGAATTTGCCTAGACTAGGAAGTAAATCAACAGATTGAGGGCAGCTTGGTAGAGGAGGCTTAGTTGTTGCCCCAGTTCCTCTGCTCAGCCATAGAGGAGCAAGCAGAGCAGTGTGGGCAGAAAGCCTCTTTGGGGTGCTTGATGCAGCTAGCAAAATCCTTGTGAAATGCTTCAGAAGCAGCAGGACAACATCTGCCTCCTAGAGGCATCTAGAGGCAGCAGGAGAGACTCTAATGAACAAGGAGAGTGTGTTTGGATGGGTGAAAACTAGGGAGTGTTGGAACACAGGCTCAGCCCAGAAGAAAGATCTGTAGTAAGGGGAAGATTCAGAGAATCTACCCGGTGCTAGTGCAAGGTGCGTGAACACCTCTATCTCTGTGTCATTGTGAAAGACTCCTCATCTCTGGTTCACCCCAAAGTCTCCATGGTGAAGCCGGAGATGGCAAGCCGACCTGCCCAGCATTTTTCTTTTCTCTTTCAGGGTAGCTCAGGTTTCAGGGCTTTCCCTCTCTGCTCCCACCAGCGCCGGTGGGGATGCAGCTAATTTGCCTGTCCGCAACGTGCCCAGGATTAGCTCTCCGTGGAGACCCCTCCACCATCGCCGAAGAATGGATGCTGAGAGCGAAGGCTCCAATGAAGAGACAGACTCCTCTGAAAACTGAAAGCTGCGGCGGCCAGCACCGTTCCCAGCAGTGGTGTCCCCAGAAATCCCTGGAGGAGCAGCACCTCCTCCCAGACGCCTGGTGTGACGCTGAGCTCTGTCCACATCTCCTGTGCATGCACGGCTGTGCCAAGCCCCACTGCTTGCCCCATCAGTCCCTTCCCAGGAGGAACGCTGCCACCTCCCAGCTCCAGATCCATGGAAAGCTCCTTGGTCGGAGCCCCGCGCAGCTGCAGAGTCAGGCTACCCTCTGCTGGCGAGGAAGACGAGGCAGCAGATGCTGGCTGTGCCGCAGCCCGGGGCATATAGTGGGGGATTCCCCCAGCAGGGTGCTCGCCCCCGGGCTTGGGCAGGTGCTGGAGCAGGGGGAGCGCCCATCGCGTGCTGGCTGCTTGCCAGCCTTGTGTTGTGTCGCTGTGCTCAGCCTTGGCCCAGGCAATACAGTCCTTGAATCGCCAGTGGCTGCACTGCACTCATGCTCTGTTACTCCTGGTAAAGCTGTACCTGCGTTTGATCAAAGCTGCCGAAATTCCTGGAGTTCCTAGAAAAGAAGGGCTTAGGCGGTGCCCTGCCACCTGTCCCTACTTCCTCCTCCCTGCGCCCAAGCATTGCTGGAGCAAGGTTGATTCCAGTTAAGCATGCACATGATGGTGGCTGCTGCCTCCACTGTACCCTGTTCCCTTCTGTGGGGCCTGCCGTGGTCCCCACTGCCTCATACAGCATAATAAGGAGGGAAAACAAAAGGCAAAAAGGCTTGCTTGGAGCAAGGCAGCTTTGGGGCTGGGGGACTGAGACGTTAAAACTGCTTGGCCCCGTGTGGTGGAGCCTGCAGAGTGGGGCTGGTGCAGATTAACAGGGATGAGGGGAGAAGGAAGCAGCTATCAAATGCCTCTTTTGTTTCAACATAAATGTTGGCATTCCTCTATCATCACAGCATAGCCCTTACACCCAACCAGACAAAGTACAGAGTGCCAGGGCAGCTCAGCAGCGTGGCCTCTGCAGATAATAGTAAAAAGGGTTATTGCAGGGAGATCCCTCATTTCTCCTCAGCCACCCCAGGGGCTCTGGCCGCTGCTCTGGGCTCTCACAGGCACCGTGCAGGCTCCAGGGCACCTTCACCGGCAGCTCAGAGCTCTCCTAAGCCAGAGCGGATTTAGCCCACAAAACTATTTTTGGCTAATCCCCTAAACACAGGTGACTGTGCACCACTGCCCCCATCATGGCAACAGGGGGAGGAGCTACTTATTGTAACTCATTTATCAACGAGCCCTTTTGCAGCTCACTCTGTCCTCCCCCTCCGCAAGGGGCCTGGCTCCCTGTGCCACAGCTGCACAGGGCAAGCAGTGCTCCAGGCCCCCCAGCACCCCATGGGTGGCAGCCCTTCCCCACACAGGAGAGCAGCAGCCAGGGCAGCTCTTCCCCTCCACCTTCTGGCACTGCCAGGGCAGGCTGCAAGTCCAGCCCAGGCAGGGTGCAAGACAGGGATGAGCGGGGAGCACAGCCCTGCTCCCCAAAAGCCCTCCCCCTACTCTTTGCTAATGCCAAAGGACAAACCTGCTGCAAAAAACGGTAAGAGTTGAGTGTCCTATCAAGGCCCTGGGCTCTTTTAGGGTCCAGGCCCAGACTTGGCCACCCTGTGCTGGCTCCATGGCTCTGGTACAGGGCTGGGCAATAAAATAAGTAGAAGTCCAATGGGTTTATAATAGTAAAAAGGGTTATTGCACATGATGAGGCAGACCTCACAAATACAAAGGAACCCTCCTTTTGCCACGCTCCCTGAATTCTCCCGTTGAAAACAACTTTTTACCACTGATGGCAACTGCTACAGCAGCCTGCATGGAAAGAGGCAGTAAGAGCACGGAGCAGAACACAAGGCTGCAGTCGTGTCCATAGGGACCAGGTAACACAGTGTCCAGAAAAAGGGCATGGTTTTTCTGCTCTGCCCCTCGGTGTGCTCAACTACAGACCAGACCACAAAAGGCAGGAGCACCAAGAAGGGCAGCCACAGGAATTCCTGTCCTACTGTTCAAAGCAAAGACATTAATCCCGTAAGAAGGCCTGTCTCCACTGGCTAACAGGTAGCAGTGGGTTTGAGGGCACACTGAATTTTAATACAGAGTGGAATCCAGAGATAGTTGGGAAGCAGTCCAGGCACGGACATCTTCTGACCCCTTCCGCCTACCTTCCCCCCTTCCCACCCACCCCAGATGAACTAAGACAATCCTGCAGAGTTTATTCCAGGCAAAGGTGACATCTGTGCATCTTGCTGGATTCCCTGTGAGCTGCAGTCCCTCCATCATCAATATGAGCCATAACGATCCTGGGGAAGAAACAAACCAAGACACTATGTTAAAACACTTCACAAACTCCAAAGAGAGGACAACAAGGTCTTGAAGTGTTTAGGACTGGAAGATAACCATGAGACAAGTGACCAGCACAAGGTTACCTAAAGACAGGACACTATACAAAGGCAGGAGATAAAAACCACAGCCCCAAATTAGAGGGGTTTGCTCAGCATTGCTGTGGGCAAAACATCTCTCAAGTAACAAGGTGTTCTGCCTCCACCAGGAGGTTGGCCAAGGAGAGTGCACTGACCATCTGGAATTGCTCAGCTACTGTAGTGTAGCCAGCAGCTACCAAAGGCTCTATGCTGTGTTTTGAGAAGATTGCAATAACCCTGGAGGAAGTCAGGGCATGGCGAGAGGCTATAATCACATTTGGGGACTATGTGAAGTGCCACAGTATCACCTCACCTGGAGGGAGTTCATCACCCCGTTGGCTAGGACAGCCATCTTTCCAGCAACTGATTTTACTCCTTGCTTGAACTGCGCGATGTCAGCTGTAGGCAGGACATTCCCAATTGAGACTCCACCTACAAAAGCCAGCAGGAGTGAGTTTGGAGCCTCCCCAGTTCCAGAAAGCACCCCAACCCCTTCCAGGCCAAGGGCTTTGAAGCTGCCCTGTGACTCTCCTCTGGCCCTTTCCCTCCCCGCTGAGCACTAACCCACCTGAGTGCACGTTTTCAGTGTCACCAAAGAGGTCTGCAGAGCTGATGGCGCTGCTGCCCGAGAGCTGCTGCAGGCGGGATCTGGCTTCATACTGCAGCAGAAAGCAAGCAGAACAAGAAAAAAATTTAAGGGAGGGAACAAAGCAAATCAAAGGGGATGAAGACAAAGCTGTGCCAACTTAAGCATTGCAGCACACACCTACCTCAGCATCTGCCTCCCGTCCAAAGAACATATCTGAAGAGATGGCTTTTGCCCCTGCAAACTTCTGCCGCGCTTCATTTGATTCCACAGCGGATGTCCTGCTCTCTGTCTCACGCCTACTGATGGGCCTGAGGTAATGAGAAAGGAGATGTGTCACAGCAAAGAAACAGGCTTCTCTTAGGTCCCATTCAATTAAAGGAAAGCTATGAAAGCCCAAGTTCTAACCACTGTCGTGGTTCCCTGTTCCCCCTCATATCAGGGTAGCTATCCCAATGGCTACAAAGGCTGTATCAAACTTAAGAGACACATCAGAGGAAGAAGTACCAAAACCCTTTTCACTGAAGACCCCTTTCTTCAGGCTAGGAAACTCCTTCAATCAGTACACAGCCCTAAGGTCCACTTGACTTATGCTACAGCAGATTACTTGCATGTGCAAGAGACAGATCCAGTCATATGCAGTAACATCTTCCCCACAGGTCCCAGACCTACCCTTTTGCCCCACATCCAAGGTACAGTGGCAGAGATGGGCACTTTACCTCTCTGAAACTGGTCGAATACTGGAAATGGTCACCTCAGGTTCCTCCTCTTTGTCAACACCCCAAGAAGAGTCCGTTTCCCATCGCGAGCCAAAGGCATCTCCCAATGAGAAGGGATTATCTTTATACCTAGGTGCCAAAAGAGGTAACTCAGGCCAGGCGTTACATTCAGAAATGAGCTAAAGGCCACACTGAAGCTTCGCCTTACTTGGGAGGTCCAGATGCGAAGGCTCCAGCATCTTCAAACAAGTCCAGTTGGGAGCGGGAAGATTTTGCAACCAGCGGCGTCTCCTGCTCAATTACTTGCATCTCAGACATCACCGAGTGTGAAACACAACTAGCACAACAAACAGGCAGTCAAGGCCAGGACAAGCCTCCCTCCCCTAGAATCAGTCTGCCTCAAAGCTCAATCTGGCCTGCACAGACAGGGCAGGTGCCACAAGTCTCAAGAGAGGCACGGGACACCTGCCCCCTTCACAGCACATCTGCTCTAATTTGTTTTCCTCCAAAGCCTCAAGCTACATTACGACAGGGGAGCAGCTGTCAGCAGCAGGGCTCTAGGGCTTGGGACTGACCAACCTTCAGGAAGGCTCAAATGCAGACCAAAACATCTGAACAGAGCTTTCTTACTTTCCGGGCTCTCAAACACTTTTAAACATAACCCGGCATACAAACACGTGAACTGGATGCTTATTTGTTATACTGCCTTCAAAAATCTATTCCAGAGTAGAGTACTTTTAAGGAAACTACATCTATGCTTGAACATCCAAAGCAAAGTACCTTCTGGACACCAAGCCCATGCCTAGCCTCTCAGCTTGTTCACGTTTCTTCCCTTCAAGGTTCTGCAGATTCTTCTCCCTGTGGTAGGTAATAACTCGTGCCTTTCCACCCCCCCCGTCTCATCCTGCAGCGGATCAAGGGGGAAAATAACCCTGTCTACTATCAAGCACCCATTTTCCCCACTAGTTAAGTCAAGAATCCTTACAGAAGCTGCTGCTCATCTTTCCATCTCAGCTCACACCTCCACGAGGATTCTGTTCTTTTTGTGCAGACTGACTTCCTTACTGCCAGCTTTCCCCCCACCCAAGGGCAGAGGAATAAACAGGTCCCCATCTAGATCAACCTTTAGCAACTTCAAGGTCAGCAAAGAAGCAAGATACTTCCATATCTGCTCCTCAAACTCTTCTGGAGGTGTTAATTTGAGCAAAATGTAGCAATGTAATTTGTGCTCTGATGCAAGGGCCACTTCTGCTTCAGGTTATCACTCATCCAATCATGCAGGATCTTATGTACTCAGCTTGGCTGGTCCCACAGTGAACAGCACCAATCCCTAGTTACTTTTACCTTATGTATGCAAGGTATTCAGCCCAAACAAGGCACTTACATGGATTCCTCAGCTTGTTTCCTGGACTCCACTGCCTGCTGCTCCCTCAGCTGCTCTGCAACCTGGGCTTGCCGCTCGATCTCGCTAAAGCTCTGGCTGCTCACTTTCTGGGCTCCAAGACCCTTTTTTGCACCGAGCTTAAAGAACAAACAAACAAATGTGAATTGTTCATCTCAGAGTATAAGAAAACCAGCAGGTTGAATCCTTTACCCTGCTGCACTTACCAGGCCTTTAGTCAGCCTGTTTAGTTATAACCTACAAGCCCAGTAGAGCCTGCAGCAGGGGATGAAAGAACACACATTTAACCAGTCAGGAACCAGTGCTAAAAGATTAGCCATATGGACTCCTCATTATAAACATAATGATCCAAAGCCTAATCATTTTTGTCCCTTAACATACAAGCAATTTTTCAAAAGAGGCAATGAAATAATCAAAGCTCTCCTTGTCCCAAACAGGTATCTCATAGGCAGCTTGATTATTAAGCAAGGGACCAGGGAAAGGTGAGCAGGAACACACCAGATGTGCTCTGCCTTCTCTCTAAAAATCAAGAGCTCAGACATACCCCCTTCTTGGCAGCTCCTGGCTTCTTCTTTCCAATAAGAGAGGATTTAATTTCTATGAAAAGAAAGCAGCAGCATATAAGCAGAAATTAACTAACTTAAGAAGTTCCCACACAAACATCCACCACAACCCAGCTGCTACAAAGTCCAGGGCACACCATGCAGCTTCACAACATCAGCCTAAGTGACTTCACCAAGCCAAGAAAGCAGCACTGAGAGGGTTGAGAAGCTCCACAGTTGCAGGCTGGTGGCCTAGAGAGGCATGTCTGTCCCTGGAGAAACTTGTAATTCAATTAAGTCCTTCTATCAGCTCCTCCAAATGTCATGCAGCTGGTGACCCTATCCAGTAAAAGTTACGGTGACTAGAAGACTTCAATTGTTTCATACACAAATCCAGGAATATATCATTTCAGAGCACATGAAAGTCAGTGTTCCTTATCAGTGCCTTAGGGGCAGGGAAGTAAGAATCATAAGATCAGGTTTACAGGTTCAGAGACCAACTGCAAAATGGACCTAAGGTTCAATGAGCTAGAAACACAACAGGCTCCCTGACACCTTCCACCAAAACCTGTCCCTCTGAGGACAAGAAGCAAAAAAACAGCCGAGTCCAGCCAAGTAGCAGATGTTTAGGCAAAAGTGTAAGAACGAAGCAAACATGAAGTGGGTTTGCTGTGGTCACTTTTCCAGCTTCCAGTGTTGTGCATCTCCAATATTCTTCAGCCACCCTCATCAGCTCGTTGTTCACAAACGTGCCCAATTCTTTCTTAACCAATGTAGGTTTTGGCAACCCATACTTTAGGTCATCCCCAACAGCCTTTTCTGTCTCTTTTCTAAGATTTACCATATACTTTTGAATGTGGGGGCTTGGTATCTTCACACTACTCAAGACACAGGCAATGTTTTCACCTCATGCTTCCCAGCATTTACCTTGGTTTTTGATCACTATCAAGAGATGTTAAGAGGAACTATGACAATAAGAGCCCTTTCCAGAGAAGCAACAGGCGGGGGTTTTAGAATCCAGTATGATACATGTTATCTTTGGTTCATTCTCTCCTTCCAAGCACAAGAAGCTAATGTTAGAGCTGAAGGCAGAGTCACAAAAAGGGCAGGCAGAGTTGTCACAAGCAGCCAGCGCAAGCCAGCTGTTGGCCAGTTACCTCTGGCAGGATCAGGTCCTTGTGTTGACAGACACATGGACTCATCTAAAGAAGAGACATAAAACATGGGGGCATGAAACAGATGCTTGAGGACATAGCCTTTTCACCTGGGATGAACACACTGTGGGCCGGGAGAATATTCTTTCTAAGTAGACAAGCTGATCTAAATGCTCCCTGTGCAGCTCAGACAGCAATGGCAGTGGACAATCCCATAATGAGAAGATTTGAACTTGATCATCCAAAGGACCTGGAAACCTCCAATAAACTGAACAAACTTGCCTAAGGTTTTTGGGTCTAGGAACATCCTCTGTACTGACACCACAGGAGGATGAAAGTTCCTTTAGACATTCTGAAGATAGGCATATCAGTTCCAGCTTCCTGGGCAGTGGATGTGAGAGCAAGGTGGATCTAAGACTTTTATCGAAGTGTCTCACTTACCTAGAGGAGCTTTAGGAGATGTGCTCAACAAGTCAATTGATGGGCCTTGACTATAACCTGTCGGTGGGCACAAAACAAAAAGAAATTCAGCAGAGAAAGATTCTCATTCTCATCCCCCGTTGCTGTACACCCCTTCTAGACCTTCTGTCCCATCAAAATGCAAGATAAATCACTGTCTGAAACTTGCAAGTTCTGAAACTTAGCTATCTTGTCTCCACAAAGCAAACTATTCCTACTACAGTGTCCTAAACACATTAAAGGAAGTTAACACTTAGCAGGACAGTGCACAAAGCTGCTTCAAACAAAAAACTATGCTCCTTGTATTATTTGTAATTCACATCTAGAAACAGTACTCAGGTTTCCATTCACCTTCTTTGCATTATTATTTCCACAAGGGATAGCAGAGAAGCGGGGTAGCTAATCCTCTAAACAAAGACTGTTTCACATTTCAGGAAAAGGAGAGAAGTAATTTCTTAATCCTCAACAGAGTAGCATTCTCAAAAGTCTACTCTAATTTAACTAAACCGCTTCATTACAATGCATAGAGAGAGCTTCTACTCTTGCTCCAAGCCTGAAGCATGGTGAAAGTTCCCTCTTCCAACTCTGCTAGAGAAGAGTTCACTTCTGCTGGAAGTGAAGTCAGGTTCTTGGAAAAATTGTTCAGTGGGGAACTCACATGACACTTCTTTGCCTTCTGATGTCCTCATTTTTTCCATCACCAGGGAAGACTGTGCAGGATTCTGGCTGGCATCAGCTACATCCCAGGTACTGGAAGACTGTATGGAGACATTTGTTCCAATGATTTGTAGAGGAATGAACAAAGTAGAAGAGCCCTATACCAACTTCAAGTTTATCCAGTTTTAGGCTAAAGAGAACATGATCCAAATTCCACATCATGCATTCTCTGAAGATAGGGATAACTTACGGACAAGTTCACACTCCCTCAGATAAAAACTGAAAAGGGACAAAAAACAAAGGAAAATGCATGCCAAGCTGAATGGAGCCCTAAGAGAAAGGACAGCATTACTCAAAGAGTAGTAGTATCAGTAGTATCAGAGTTGGCTACTACAGAGACTTCTCGTCTTAAAGAGATGAACTTAAATCTGGGAGAAGGAGTTTTCTTTGGGGAAAAATAAAAAAGTCATTATTTTGGCTTCTGCTGTCTTTATTACCAACCAGCCAGTTCTGATGTTACTCTGTTCCCTTGGGAGGATGCCTCTGACATTATAGAAGTAGTTGCCCAAATCCACCTGCACGGTCCACGCACTGAAAAGCTGACCAAGCCATAAGCTCAAAGTGAAAGCCAGTCTTTGTTTTAACTGTCCAAAGAGACTACATACTTGAGGAGTAAACAAGGCATTTTCCACATAATAGCTGCTATCAGTATCCCTTGAAGATAAAAAGTCTCAAAGACCTCCACGTGTATACTACAGGCTCCACATGGAAGCACTTACGTGTGTGCCTATATCACAGGCTGGTGACCGAACCCAAGTTCTTCCATAATACTAATGAATCAAGATATAATTTAGTAACCTTCCAAACCAAGTGGGACTGCACCTATCACCCCTCCAGGCTCCTGGATGAAGTTCTGTCTACCCGAGAGCTATGAAGGCTGCCTGGTTTGGACAGTTGTTCTCACCTGTGTGTGCTCCATGAAAAAATCAGCATCGCTCTTCTCAGGTGAGTGCCCAGGGGCTCCACTCAGCCCATCTATCAGCAGCTGAAAAGATGAAAGGAGACACCCTACAAGAGTCAGCGCCCAGCACGACAGGTCTTTAATAGGCCAGGGCTGCCCAGACTTACGTCGGTGCCGTACTTGGCCATGGCAGCACTCGCCAGCTGCCGGATCTTCTCCCGATACATCTGCGCAGCGCGACTGTTATACTTGGCATTGGCATCTGTGGTGGTGCAGCCATGCTGGCGGAAGAAAGCGCTCTGGAAAAGACAGAAACGTTCAGCCTCCTCGTTGCTGTATCAGATGCAAGTAAGCATCAAATATACAGCAGCTTGAACTCAACAGAAAAAGGAAACTTCCTCAAAATCAGGAACGTAACACCAAACGTGGAGTACAAACCATTCATTGGTCAACTCAGCTTTCAATAATAACTCATTTTCTGGGCCTCAGAGGGCTGAAAACACAATCCCCATCCTTCACAGGGGGACGCCTCTGAGTCACAGTGCTAATCATGAGCTTTCTAAGTGATTAATATTACTAATGCCTTTCATTTAAGAGGACTGTATCTTTCCTATAAATGAAGCATAAGGAAGTGAGAGGTCTGCATATCAGAAATGCATTCACAAAGGTCACAGGCTGACGTCTAAGTGCAGCTGACAGACACCTCTCTCTATTACACAGTTCCAAAAAAAGAAGGGGCAGTTGACACCCTTTGGGACCAGGAAAATTTCATAAAGTACAGGGACAAGAGCCAGAGGATGCCACTTAGCAAGAAGGAAGATGAGCAAAATGCCTACAGAGGCTCCTCACCGCGTTGGCATTGCTGCCCACTTGCATACATCTCAGCTGGAACCAGTTCCAGTTAGAGTCCAGCTCTGTAGACCTGTGTGAGAGCAAATGACTTCCATTAACAATGTACAGGCATCCCAAATGCTAATGCATGCCTCTAATCTAGCATGGCAAGGTACAGCAGAGAAGGTAAAGCTGACATCTCAGTAACTTCTCTACTGTTTTTTTTCCATAATGAATCAAGTTAAACTTTCAAGGTTATCATTAATCCATTTGAGTTTCTCATCAGACAACAATGTCAAAACTTAAAGGGTGTCTCACTAGTGTTGCTCAAGAGAACAAGGACTCAGCCAGGAAGGCAAAACCATCAGCTTTGATTCTGCGTGTGAACTCATCACAACATGAAAGACTGGCACAATTAATCTATCCCCGAGAACAGGACACATTACAGAGCAACTGAACAAGTGCTGACGTAAAGCTGCATGATTGAATGTACTCCACTTATCTCTGAACAAGTAAAGCTCAGAGGTTTCTTACCTAAAACACATCATAAGTACTCCAAATAACAGAAATCACCTCAACATCCCAAACCACCTTAGCTAGCAGGCTAGCACAGGAAAAGCTTCCCTTGGCATTGGTGGAAAACCCTTCCTCCTGCTTTGTGAGTGGGATTTCTGTGGCGCACAGTCTTCTTCCAGCTCCTACAAATGGGAGCCCAGAGTAGGTTTCCGCAGAGCCCATGACAGCAGCACAGGGCTGTGCTGCCCACTCGCCGGGAGCCTCGGAAACACTGCCTGGAAAGGGCCCGGCAATGCAGAACTTGCTTTGAGCACCAGGCAGACCCCACGCAGTCGCCTTGGGGATCCAGCTCCCCGGCGCTGCCTCCCGCCCGTTCCCGCCGCCCGGCCCGGCCTGGCGCGGTGCACGCACCTGATGAAGCTCAGGTGGACGCCCAGGGAGCGGTGGACGCCGGAGCAGTCGATGCATAGGAAGACTCCGTAGGTGATGCTGGCCCAGCTCGGATTCTTGGCGCCGCAGTCGAAGCAGGACTAGAGCCAGGGCAGAGGGACCTCGCG